AGGAAATTTAATATGCGCCTTGAAGTAGCCGCCTTCGTAGAGGGTGTTGGGGGGTCCGAAGATGGCAACCTCCCAGTTGTAGAGGTCGGACTCATCCACCAAGGTGATCCGGGAGCCCTCCACCGGCTCCTCCTGCAGGGACTTGAGCTCCAGCATCAGGGCCTTCTGGGAGCTGGCCATCGCTGCAGCAGCGGCTCGCCTGGCTGGGGCCCTAGTCCTCACACACCAGCTGAGCTGGACCAGGCCCCTCCCCTCGGCTCGCCCCGGTCTTCACACACCCGGTGGGCCGGACCAGGCCCAAGACAGCCCGTGGGCTGGCCCTGGTGCTCCTCACATACGACGTGGGCCGGGCAGGGCTGGGCTGGGCCTTCTCCTCACACCGGGGCCAGTTGCGCGGAGAGGGTGAAGGAGTTAGGGGAATTCACTCCCGGTCCCAGTCCCGGTCCTGGTCCTCCCCGCCCCGGAGGGGGCCTCCACTTGGGGGGGAGAGGAGAAAAGGTGGAAACGGTGAGGAGAGGGGGCCAGGCCGGCCCGGGAGCGCCGCGCTCGCTCGCTCGCCCTCTCGTTCTTCTCTGGGGCCGCCTCGGCCGCTGTTTCTCTTTAGAATAGTGCAAATGGGCAATCGTGCACTCACCTAAGGAGCAGATCCAGGGCTTTCTGTAGCAGGAAAAATAGGAAGAGGTCAGCTCAAGGACCAAGCCTTGATGTGTGGCTGCAGTCTCTTCCAGAAGTCTCCCCAGCCAGCTGAGTTCCCAAGACACTCTGTTCTGGAGAAGGTTGAGTTGGGCTCCCTGAGTGTTTTTATACTGATTCTCTAAAGGCCACGCCTCCTTCTTCTAAAGATTATATTTCAGAGTTCTTTAGATAGGATTAATTTCACGCCTTAATTAATCTCCCTAAATAACCTCTATAAACATAATCTAATCAAGAGTCACTGATTTTACAGCAAACCAGCCCTAAGGACCCGCCTTTCGATCTAAATGTCTATACCCTAGGATTAGTATAAAATCCTATCACCTAGAGAATTATTTTGTTTTTGTTAATCCCTACCCAAGGACATTTTTCCCATTGACTTTTAGAGAGAATGAGGTCCCTTGAAACATATGCTGTGCAGATATTCCTTCCCTGCAGCAACTGTGTCAAGCAGCAAGGATGGACCGGCTTCCGGCACTTTTTCTTCTATTTTCTTCCTTGCTCAGAGTTTGCTGTGGGTCTAATGACTCTCTGGGCAGTTTTCTTCCACATGATGGCTCAGCATTCCAGGCTCTATTATCTTAGACATCTACACCTCAACAAATGATAACCTGGAACAAAGAAAGTTTAAAAAAAAAAGGTAACAAAGAGAATTGTGTGCCTTCTCTTAGATATTTCCATCCAGAAGCAATATGTGTAACTTTCACTCACATTTCAGAGGCTAAAGTAAGTGCCATAGCCATGCCTAACTTCAAGGATGTGGACAAAGTCCTCTCAAATGTCTAGGTCAGAAAGGAGTGCTGAAAGTATTGGTAAGCTCCAATGTTGACAATGCTATTTTACATAAAAAAAAGTCATGCCCTCACCCCCCTACTGTCCGTGTCCATTGTTATGCTTAGATGCATGCATACAAGTCCTTTGGTTGCTCTCTTATCCCCCCTCCCCCTCAGCTGCCTTCCCTCTGAGATTTGACGGTCTGTTCAATGTTTCTATGTCTCTGGATCTATTTTTGTTCATCAGGTTAGGTTGTTCATTATATTCCACAAATAAGTGAAATCACATATACTTATCCTTCTCTGACTAGCTTATTTCACTTAGCACAATGCTCTCCAGGTCCATCCATTCTGTTTCGAATAGTAAGAGTTCTTTCTTTTTACAGCCATGTAGTATTCCATTGTGTAGATGTACCACAGTATTTTAATCCACTCATCTGCTGACAGGCACTTGAGCTGTTTCCAAATCTTAGCTATTGTAAATTGTGCTGCTATGAACATAGGGGTGTATATATCCTTTCTGATTGGTGTTTCTGATTTCTTGGGATATATTCCTAGAAGTGGGATTACTGGGTCAAATGGGAGTTCCATTTTTAATTTTTTGAGGAAACGCCATACTGCTTTCCACAGTGGCTGAACCAGTCTGCATTCCCACCAGCAGTGCATGAGGGTTCCTTTTATTCCACATCCTCACCAGTACTCGTTTGTTGATTTGTTGATGATAGTCATTCTGACAGGTGTGTGTGGGGGGCGGAGTGGCTGGGGAGAGGTCAATGGGGGGAAAAGGAGACATATGTAATACTTTCAACAATAAAAAATTTAAATTTTTTTAAAAATTAAAAACTTCAGTACTGGCTGGTGTGGCTCAGTTGGTTGGAGCGCTCTTCCATACACCAAAAGGCTGCAGGTGTGGGAGTCAACCCATTGGTGTTTCTCTCTCATGTTGGTGATTCCTTCCCTCTCTAAAATCAATTTTAAAAAATAAAACATAAAAAAACCTTCAAGTCTGTATCAAAGAATGGGGCTGAAGTTATGAACAGAGGTGAAACTTGGGCCACCAATAAGCAAACCCCTCTGCCTGCCCTGCTTCCATTCATGTTGTGTTTTGTATGTTGGGGGAGGTGGAGTTAAAAAATCCCGAGTTCAGATATGTCAAAGTCAAGATACTTCCATCTAAGTGGAGTGTCAAATAAGTAGTTAAATCAGAAGGTCAGAGGACAGGCCTGGGCTGGAGATTTAATCTGGGAGACTAAATGCATATCTACAGTTAGATATGAGAGTGTGAAGCCCAAGAGTGGTCCAGCCTGGTGGTTAGGGATAAGAAAATGTAGAGAGGATAATTAGAAGGCAGTTGTGGACAGAACCCTGCTGACAACCAAAATTAAGGGGAGGGGTTCTAAAAAGGAGACTGAAGAGGAACAGAGAGGAAGGGGGAGAATTAAGAGAGAGAGTGAAATTGTTAAAACTAAGGGAAAAGAGCTTTAAACGCTATGTGTTTCTGCTCTTATCAAAGCAAACCCCTGTCCTTGTGCTCTGGATCCTGCCCCTTTTGTTGTCAGTTCCTCTCTCTTGGGTGGCCTTTCTAAACACTGTCACATTACACAGCTTTAGGCACACGGGTGACCTTTCATGACTCCAACATCCCAAGTCCTTCAGTGCCTTTGCACTTACTCTTCCTTCTGCCTGGCAGGCTTTCCCCCAAGTTTTCTAACAATTAACTCTTTGTAAGTCTCAGCTTAAATGTCATCTTCCCAAAGAGGCCTTCTTTGATCACACGATGTAAAGCAGTTCTCAATCCCCACCTGGTGCCATGGGTGCTTGTCTTAGTCCATTCAGGCTGCTATTTAAAAAATGCCATAAGCTCAGTGGCTTATAAACAACAAACATTTATTTTTCACAGTTATGGAGGCTGGAAAGTCAGACTATGGCTCTGACAGTTTGGGTATCTAGTGAGGATCTACTTTTTGGCTCACAGAAGATGCATTGTCACTGTGTCTTTACATGGTGGAAGGGGGCAAGGGATCTGTGAGAGGTCCCTTGAAAGTACACTGTGAGTCTCCACCCCACTACAAAAAAGCTACAAGAGGATATAAGGAAAGCTTAATTGGGGGAGAGGTGGAGTTTAGGAGCGTAAGGAGTGGTCATTTCCTCCTAAAGTATTACATTTTCAGCAATTGTAAGATAGTATGTTGGTAACAGAGTTGTTAATAATATGATGTAAGTAACATTTGAGCAAGCAGTCTGAAATTCAACTGCAGTGCAAGCAGGGAAGCTAATCAAAGGTTGGCATTTTTATAAGTGCTTGCTGCCCCACCAAAGCTGTGGGGCTCAGCATCCCCCTTGCTCTGGCCCCAGGCCAGATAACTCTGATGTCATAACCTGGCTACACGTTTGAGGCAGGACCTCCTCTATCTATATGTCACAGTGCCTAGGACAGTGTCAAACACATAGTAAGTGCCTAGAACGGTGTCAAACACATAGTAGGTGCTCAATAATTATTGAATAAACATTAACACTTGCACATGCTGCAGAGAGCTTAGATTCAGGCTGAAATCACACGATTTTAACATGGAGAAGTTCACTGGTAACCTCAGTGGGGCCATTTGCAGTTGGGTATTGGCAACATGGCCAGAGTGCAGGGAGGGAACAGGAAGAGAAGAGAGGAAGTGTAGCCAGGGAGACTGCTCTTTCTAGAAGCTTGGTTGCGAAGGGAAAAAAGAACAGGACAGTAATTACAAGATGCAAAATGACAAGAGAGAGTTTTGTTTTGTTTTAAAAGGTAGCAACTTCAACTTTTATATATATATTTCATGAGAATAGAACCAGTAATGAAAGAATGGAACATGTATGGGAGGGAATAGATAACTGATGGTGTGTAGACAAGAGCAAAGTTAGCACATATAAGACAAAGAATTCCCTTTCCTCTGGGATAGCAAAGAAGTAAGGATAGGTTGGGGTGGGGGGTAGGAAGCTGAAGGAATGGGCTTGCCACTGGCTGTTATTTTCTTTCTAAACAGAAAGCTCAGAAGTAATTGTTCTTTTCAATTTCTTCTCTTAACCAACTTAATTCTGCTCCACATTTGTTCCATCCCCGCTTCACTTTTGACGTTATGCTTTGTCTGTCAACTACTCCCTGTTCTGGATCCACCTGCAGCCCCTAGACCTTCTCTGGATTAGTGTATTAACTTGGCCAGTCTTCTGGAACTACCCTGTCCTTTAATACCAAATGACAAAGTCTTCCACCCTGTGAAATTGTAGGATTTCCAGGCTTTTATTTGATTTTTCTAAGTATTAACGAGGATTCCCATAGAATCTCACATTTCACACACTTCATCACCTTACTTCTGTAATTTGGTTCCAATTGGTGTAATAATCCAGCCCAAAGATGGACACAAACTTCTCCTGTAACTCTCTAAAATAGAACATATTTTAAACAAGATTTTAAAAAAATATTTTTTTATTGATTTTAGAGAAAAAGGGAGAGGGAAAGAGAGATAAAAACATCAATGATGAGAGAGAATCATTGATTGGCTGCCTTCTGTATGCCCCACAGTGGGCATACAGAAGGCAGCCAACCCTGGCATGTGCCCTGACTGGGAATCAAACCGTGACCTCCTGGTTCATAGGTCGATGCTCAACCCCTGAACCATGCTGGCTGGGCTAAACAAGATTTTATTTGAAGATTTAGGGATAATAGAAATGGATAACAAGAAAGAAAAGTAAAAAAAAGTATTGAAATGTCCAGCCCATTCTGTTCCTGCTCTATCTTAAGATCATTTTCTCAGATGTCAGAAAAGCCTATCTAATAGCAAAAACACTATTGCTTTTCCTTACCACATAAAAAACTTGCTAAAAACCCTCCCTATCTGAACTTTTCTGCACTTCCAACCAAGTTTCTGTCTCTCTGTCAGCTGTCTGTTTCTTTGTCCATCCCTGCAAAAGTTTCCTCCCACAGCACACAAAAATCTCTAACTTTCCACAGGGCCTTCTCCAAGTCACACCCTGCTCAGCAAAACAAAGCTGGAGGAACACATTTCTGGGAAACAAAAGCCCCAGTTGTTAGTCAAACCTGACCAAGCATCACGCCACCACACCCAATGCTAAACAGGAGGGCTTCTCAAAGTCTCTGCAGAGAAATCTCCTCCGGTCTGGGAATCAAACCAGAACCCGTTTGACTTGTAATTGTTTTAGATATGCTTTTGGTAATTATTATGGATCAAATACTTAGTTTGTGGGTCACATATATTTATATCTATATATGCACACTGTCTTGTTACCACTGCAGTTCTATTTCTGCCTCTTCATATGACTTCAAACATTTGGTGGAATACAGCATACCATATTAAGTGGGAGCTGGTGCCACCTAGTGGACATCATCTCCTTAACAGCTTTGAGTCCAGGATTTTTTCTCTGCCTGGTGATCAAGATGAAGAAGGTGACTAACATTCATTAAGTGCTTATTATTTATTAGGCATTGTGTTAGATGTCATGTTAATCTATTTAAATTCATTGTCTAACTTAACCTCCAAAACAACACTAGGAGGTGGGAACAACTATCACTATTTTGCAGAATATGTTAAGTGAGACAAGGAAACCTTGAGTTGCCTAAGGTCACTCAGAGTTAAAATTCCAGAGCCCTTCATTAACATAAAACACTGAGTCAGTTCTATCGATGGTTTAGTACAATGCTCTATGATAGATGCTATTTTAATAGAAATAGTCTAATTTTAATTCATTTTACTTGAATTTGATATAACAAAAGAACAAGAGGTAAAAATATTTTTCTTTAATATGAGGAATATTACTTTGTAAGAACTCTTTCTAGGTTAAGAAATTAT